AGTCTTGCAGGAAATGTGATGCTGCTGCTCAAATTTATTTTGCAAATCAGGTCAGGGAGAGGCTGAACTACAGCCTCCCACACGTTACTCACCTGTTACACAAATGGGAAAGGAAAAGAACAATTTTTCTTGGTTGTGTTGTATGGACTCCAATGCTGAGCTAAGGTCTGTGGAGGAAGCATATGTACCTGAATCATGCCCCCATCGTGTACCTGAATCACGCTCCCCCATCAGGAGAGCCGGTCAGCTCAGAGCTGTCTAGCCTTCAGCATTTCTACACATACCCCCTGTGAAAGATATAGACCTATAGAAAGTAGTCTGGCAAATGTATTTTGAGGACCTGAGCCTATATGTCTTTAGATGTCATGTGTGATACATCCAGAAAATCTCATTTGCTAGCTGAGGATGCTTTTAAAGTGAAGTATTACAATCAAGTATTACAAGAGAATAAACATTAAATATTATCATCTGGGAGCTCAACAGTTCTGATAGGCAGTAAATCCATAAAGTGGCAAAAAATAGGTTGGGATAAGTGCATGAATATGGATGTGTGTGTGTTTCTATCACAGAATGTGATTTGTGCGTTGACATACGCTGTGGTCAGTGAGCACAGCAGCCTGGCAGCATCCAGAACTGTTCTCTGCCCTCACTGTGGGCAAGTGTTTTGTATGATAGCCCGAGACTGAGAGAATAACCTTGTCATGGTTCTGCTGCTAACGCTTTCCCTTTCCTGGTAACAAAATATTAGCTATTGATTTTTGTATTGCTGATTCTGGAAGCAAAGTAAAGAAGGCAGAGGATGGGAGAACAGGAAGGCTTCTGTTATTATTTTGTCGGGGGAAATCTGAAAGAGTTTAATCAAGAAACTGACATCTTACTACTGTGAATTTAATATGAATGAGAGAAGAGTCAGACTTTGAGATATGCGGTTCTCGGATGAGTGGGTATGACTCTGATACAGTATTCAGAGTGATGCCAAACGATTTAATCCTTTATATCTCTCATGAAGCAGGAACAACTAAAACAGGCATTAGCAGGTAAATAGTTAAAAATATTCCCTATTGAAAACAAATGCTGTAATTTTTGACTTCTTGGACATTTTAAAACTAGAGAAAGAAAAATGAAATAACAATAAATACTAGCACTTGTGCATTCTTACCTGTTACAGTACTTAGTCTTAGTTCACTAACTTAGACTTTAAATGGATTTTCCAACAAAATCAGAAGAATTAATTCTTATTTAAGATGGTAGTATACACACACTTATATAAGTCTTAGACATCCCTAAAGTAAATAAATACAGACAGCCATCAGCAGAGAGCTGTTCAGCCCCTCTAATATCTGAATTGCCTTTCTCTCTTGGTAGAGAACAGTCAATATTTATGACTAGAACAGAATATTTATTGATACTAGTGGTAAGTTTGGTATCTACGAGATCTGACCTGACAACAATGACAATGAAATACCACACTTAAAAAAAAAAAAAAAAAAAAAAAAAAAAAAGCCATCATCCTCCAAAGATATATGACATCTCTTCTATAGACAGCACCTTGAAAGATCAGACTGTAAGTTTAGTTAAAGGTGTCAGGATCTACATTTTGGTTCACACTGAGGATCTAAAGTTTGGTTCATATCTAGAGTTTGGATCATTCAGAAAGTTTGGATAAAATTGTGTACATAAATTCCTTGGTAGATATAGTGATGAATGAGATGGAGAGAGACTCAACCCTTTTTTAAAAATATGTGGAAAATTCAGCCAATGCAAGTCATTCCACAGAGTTTAATGGTTGCTGGTTGCTCTGTAACAGTGGTTAATAAGATATTTTTATATTACAAATGGAAGAAATAACCTGAACTATCCATCTGAAGTTTCATCTTGAGTTTGAAATCAAGGATAAGCCCTTGAGAGGAAAACCTAGGGCAGCATAAGAAAATGTGCTTGTATGTGCAGCACTAGTCAGAAATTAAATCTTACATAAAGATTTATGAAGAACGTGGTAGAAACAAACGCAAAAGTATTAAGAAGCTACTATTGAACAAAGAAGTAATGGCAAATTTTCAGCCTGGGCATGCCTCTGGCTACCTGATCTCAAAATACGTAGCAGAAATAGGATGCAATCAAAGACAAGGAACAAATTAAAGCAATAGATAAAATTTTACTTGAAAGGAAATTTAAAATTTTGGGATTATTTAATTTTCAGAAGGGATAAATAATGGGCAAGAAACTTATAGAAAATAATGAATGGTCTGTAGACAATAAAGTAGATGCTATGCAATAATTTGTCTCATAATACAAGAAGGGGGACTAATCAATAAACAATTATAGCAGCACATTGCACACTATTCAACAGAAGTAATTCTGAACAT